GCAAAATTTTCCATTCGCTTTGTCTGTCTCCGGCAAAGGCTACACCTATGGCCATGCTGATGACCACCTCTACTATTACCTATATCTAAGGCCCTTCCTTGGCAGTGGTTATGCCTTTAACACATCTTCTTCAGCAAAGATGACGTCTAAGTCTCTGTTGGTAGGTCGCTCTGTCCAAGTTATGCTCTTCGGAAATAATTCATACTTACAAGGGACATATTCAAGAAATATTTCATAATTCACGGATTTTATCGCAATTTTTTGAGAAAAGACAACACCGCATTGCTTATCGGTGGCTAAGAAATACTTCTGTCTCTCTCCAGCTACGCCCGGAGTCGCGGGTGTAATGAAGAGGAGCTGCGTCTATTCGTCTATGCCTTTCTTACTGCGTTGGCAGGGCGAGTGCGGGTATGATGGATCGCTATTGCGCCTGGTAGTAAATATTGATCTTTTGCTCCGGCTACATAATGGATACGCTTGTTTGCCGGACGAGTAAAAATTGAAATGGCAGCCTGGATGGGTATCGCTGGGTGAGGGGTCATCGCGCTGTCTTCGGAACAATTCAATCATCACATGCGAGCTCAGCGTATCTCCTGATGTGGTAATAGTTTACTCTTGCGGAATCTGCTGCGGTTAACGAGTATATCTCAGAAGAGGATTTTCATCTCGTAGCCGCGTTGATATAATGAGTGACACTCAGAGAGTATCAATATAAAGGGGGTATAGACACTGGGCACTGACACTTAACTTTTCTCTGAGATTGCAAACTTCGAGAGATGTATGTAGAGCTGCAAGAAAATTTGCAGCAACATTTTGCTTTAGAGCATAGAGTAATATTTTACATTTACCGAAATCAACTCGTTACGAAGATATTTAATGATTCTTGATGCGTGAATTCAAACCACCCGCTCATGAAAACTCAGTGCTCTACGTGATTCACATCGCGCGCTAAACGTTTATCATGACAGTCTCTGCGATATAAAAATCTGGCAACCTCAATCTTGACGCTTTGGCTCAGCTGTAGCAAATTGCTTATAGTTTGAACAACACATGGTGGGAAATGAACATTACTCGATTGAGAAGCTTGTTGAAACCGTTGTAGTGCGCGATTTGACTCACTTGAAGCTTTGAGTTTCTTGTCAGCGGGCAGTTCAAATTCCTCGTAACCAATGTGAAATAAAAACGTTAACATCTTCGTTCGGAGTTTGTTTCATTAGTTTTCGTTGCGCGAATCGTGCTCTACGTGAAATTCCAGTTAAGAAATATGTATCAGAATGCTTAAATTCGTATCTTGTCCAGTGGTCCATTGTTCAATATAGATTATATTATAGGACTAGTCGTGATTAGCTCGCTTTGCGAGCTGACACGTCTAGCCGGGGAGTGCCCTGGACCCCAGTTCTACGCTTCGCGACGAACTTGCGACTCGCTCCGCGAGCCGCCACGCGCCACCGCCCCGCACAGTTTGTAACATTGATGAGGAGACAACACCTATGTCTTAATCTTCTTTTTCACCAAGTTTTACAGAAATTGATGTTCTAGGAGTCCGGACCGCGTTTTCGTGCGGGGCCGCCATCTTGGATTTGGAGATG